ATCTTGTTCTGACAAAAGGAGCATGCGGCGCTTTCTCCCCAGCTAGGTCTGCTAGCTTGCAGATGATCCATCTAGAGGATTGTAAAGGATGGGAAATAATCTCATCTCTAGAAAGTCTATCATCTCTTACAAAGTTGAAGTTAAGGAATATGACAGAAGTAACAGAGTTGCTAATTCCTTCGTTAGAGGAGCTGGTATTGATTGATATGCCAAAGTTGGAAACATGTTTCTCCAATTCAGTGAGGGACTTGAACTCAAGTTTGAGGGTCCTGGAGATCAGGAGATGCTGGGTACTGAAGGCCTTTATCCTCTTTGAGAGCTGTGAAAATTTTGAAATCGAGCACATGTCATGGTTGCCCAGTGTTAGCGAGTTGACCATCCATGAGTGTCCTCATTTAATGGTATCAAATCCTCTACCGCCATCAAGTAGTGTTTTTAAATTATCCATCACAAAAGTTTCCGCACTTCCAAAGATGGAGGGATCATCAAACGGGGAATACAGAATTGGATCTTATGGTGATCCATCTACCATTGATTTCCTTGATGACAAAATTTGGTCATTCCACAACCTGAGGACCATAACTCGATTGCAAATAGTGGGCTGCAATAGTCTATTGTCTATTTCACTAGAAGGTTTGAAGCAACTCGTCTGCTTGAAGAGGTTGGAAATAGAGTCATGCCAAACAATTTTCTCTTCAGATGTGTCGTCAACATATACCCACGAATACATGACAAGCACAAATTTTGATGCCGGTCCATCTCTCGAGTGTCTCAGCATTAGATATTGTGGAATAAATGGCCAGTGGTTATCTGTGATATTGCAATATGTGCGAGCCCTAGAGACATTGGATCTAGAGGGGTGTGAGCAGATAACAGAAGTATTGATACAAGGTAAAGAGAATACTTTATCAAATCTCACCTCGGCTCCATGTGTTTCATCACAGGGAAATCCAGATGGCGCATCGACGAGGCCATGTCCTAACAAACTCCTGCGGATTCCATCTAACCTCATACCCTCTCTCAAGAAGATGTCCATTTCATGTTGCAAGCTAAAGTTTCTGGGGAACAAGGAATGCTTCTCTGGATTCACCTCCCTTGAGAAGCTAAGAATTGTTGAATGCCCCGAGCTGATATCGTCCTTGGTGCGTGAAGACGAAATTGATGACCAGGCAAACGGAAGATGGCTTCTCCGGTGTTCACTTGGCATACTGGATATCCATGACGCTTCCCTAGAAACGCTGCAGCCCTGCTTTCCGGGAGATCTGACCCGCCTCAAAGTACTAGATGTGTCGGAAAATGATGCATTGAAATCTCTACAGCTGCATTCCTGCACAGCACTGGAAGAGCTGACAATTCGATATTGCGAATCGCTAGACACACTAGAGGGTGCACCCGCCTCAAAGTACTAAAAGTGTCGGAAAATGATGCATTGAAATCTCTACAGCTGCATTCCTGCACAGCACTGGAAGAGCTGACAATTCGATATTGCGAATCGCTAGACGCACTAGAGGGTGTCCGATCCCTCCGCAGTCTCAGGTATTTGGACTTATACAGATGCCCTGGCTTACCTCAATGTTTGAAGAGTCTATCAACCCAGGGTTATGAGCTGTTCCCTCGATTGGAAAGGCTTCGGATCGACGACCCGTCTTTTCTTACCACGCCATTCTGCGAGCACCTCACCTCTCAACAATGCCTACAGCTCGAGGACGATACCGACGCGGCAGGACTAACATGCGAGCAAGAGGCAGCACTTCAGCTCCTCACGTCCCTGCAAGAGCTCCAATTTGTTGGTTACTGGGATCTCTCGGATCTTCCTGTGGGTCTGCATAGCCTTCTCTCTCTCAAGCGGTTGAAGATCAGAGATTGCAGGAGTATCTCAAGGCTGCCAGAAAGGGGCCTCCCACCTTCCCTGGAAAAACTGGAGGTCCACCATTGCAGCATGGAGCTAACCGAGCAATGCAGAATGCTAGCGACAAGCAAACTAAATGTAATAATTAATGGGAATTATGTGAACTGATTACAGGTTTCTCCACATCTCGCCTTGAAAGGTATACTTCTACCGTTGACCATGTTATCTTGATGGTTTACATACAGTTTTATGTCTATTTGCAGGCATTCAAGCTGACACCATGGCTGCCGTGACCGTCTTCAGAACCTATAGGAGTATCATACTGTTACAAGCTGTTCGAGCAAGTGTTGAAAGCACTTCCCTGTTTCTCCTAGGAGACCTGCTACAAATTACAAGGCTTATTGTTGACCACGGCCCAAGGGCCAGAAGCCAATGCCAAAAGTGCCAAAAGTGTTGTTCTTTTCACTCTGTAGCCTCAAAAACCTGATGTTTCTAGTTTCAAAAAAAAAATGATGTTTCTTGTGACAAGTTCTCTGATTCTGCACAGGGTTTTGTTTCACTTGTAAACCTTGTCCTCGTTGCTCAAGTGCTCATGTTGCTGAATGTTGTATACGGTTTTCCTGATTGGCCTTGCCGGCCGTTCTGAAAGCAGCGAGGTAGTAGAGGTTCTGTTGTCATATGACTGAAAGGAGCCTATCAGTATTTTCTTCCCGAGGGTGTTTATTCTTTATGTTGACTATAGAAGGGACTACAATATATATAGAATGCACTTTCTGTAATCAAAAGAGTTGGTGTAAATAATGTTATCCTCAATCATCTTGCTTTCTTGCTAACCAGTAGACATAATGGGGATGGGATTGAAGCAACTCATTTATTTCTCTGCTATAAACCTGGACAGCGAGCAGCACCAATCGCAAGGAACGGTCCAAGGCATGGATGAGTTTTGGAATTCAGACTGCAAATGGCTGTTGAGTGTTGACGGAAACTTGTGAAAGAAGAGTGCATTCTCTACAATGGCTGTTAGGTGCAACACTACTGATGGGACATCAGTTCTGCACAATCGCAAGATAGAATTTGTAGCTATTGGATTGACACCAAACTCAAACTCTTCAAGGTACTAGTTAGCTTGACTATGCAGAATTCATGTAGCCACAATATAATTAATGGCGCACCTTTGCAATATCAAATTATGATCAGTCGTGGACAAAAATATTGAAACTTGCAACGTGTTTATCCAGAAAACAGCACCATATGATAGGTGAGGATAAAGTTTTTATTTTTCTAAAAAAAAAGAAAGCAAAATGGACTTTTTTGAACTGTGATTCAGTGCAGCTCTGAATTACAACTACAGGCCACGCTCCTTTAACTCTTGTAGCGCTGTTGATGGTGCCATCATTTTGATTCATGATCCAGATAGCAAAAAAAAGACTGAACACAGCACGTCCCTGGTAGGGATGACGGACGAGCAAGTAAAAGCGCACTATAATACTATCCATGGTGCTAGCGGCGGTGTTCAGACCTGCAGTGCTCCGGCGTCAGGCAAATCCACGGCATGGTTTTGGACGTTGGGTTGTCTCAGTCAGAGGAAGGACCTCATCACCCAGGATTGAGCCCTGGGCCGGGACACACTGCTTCTGTTTGGAACGCAGCACAGCTTGGTTATACAGTGTAAGTCGACCAGAAATTAATTGATATAAACAAAACTGTAAAACAAAACACAAAAGCGGGGATAGCTCAGTTGGGAGAGCGTCGGACTGAAGATCTGAAGGATTGAGCCCTTGGCCGGCTTACTCTGTTTGGTACATAGCACACAGCTTAGCGGTCATATGGTGGAGGCCGCCTAGAAATGTATTCATATATAAGAATATATAAAAATGAAATACACAAGTGGAGATAGCTCAGTTGGCCAGTTGGGAGAGCGTCAGACTGAAAATGCAACTACTATTTTTGCATTCTCTTTTTTTATCCTTTTCTCGTTGTGCTCATTCTTATTTTATTTGTTCTCACTGCGCTCAACTGAATAAAAAAACCCAAATATACTATAATAATAATCAAAGCAGCTACCTATACTATTTGTGCGAATTAACTTACTACTTTTTTAAAACTTAATCTTTTTGGGTTCTCATGATTTCACGGAGAAGATGGATTCCACCGAGCATTTTGTTCAGCCTGATCGCTGGTTGGTTTCTGGACTGAACATTGTATCATGGCTGATAAGCTCGGCTGGTGCTGGTTTGTTGTCAAAGAAAAACCTTGAGCTGATAAGCCCGACGTCGGTCCATGTTCAATTTGGAAACCGAAGGTTGGAGATATTTTTTGCGGATGATGAGTAGACACTTGTGCTGGTCACTGCTCCACGTTGCAGTGGAAATCGCGGGCCCTCTTTTTTCCACGCTTCCGCTGGTGACTGTGACTGGGCATAGACCATCGACCCGCTCTCTCATCTTTCCAGCTTCCATCCAACCATCCATATGCACTTCTGACTACTCTGCTTTGGCTAGGCAACCCTCAGTTTTGCTTCCTCCTCCGTTCACCATCACCATGGCTCAGATCGATCTGATGGAGGTGGCAGAGGCGACCGCTGTGGAGTCCGCGATTCTATGGCAGGTGCAAACTATCCTCGAAGCTCTTCTACCCACCGGCGAGCTCGACGCGTGGCTTCAACGAGTTGGCCTCGCTGGTGCCATCGGTGCACTCAAGTATGAGGTCGAGAGGACGGAGACGGTCGTCAACGGTGTCGGGGGCAGGGCGGTCGGGAACAAGCCGCTTGCCCGCTCCCTCGCTCGTGTCAAGGAGCTCATGTATGACGCTGACGACGTCGTGGATGAGCTCGATTATTGTAGGCTCCAGCACCAGGTCGAAAGAGGTATGTATACATCCATCCTTGCGATTTGTGTTTTTTTTAGATTGTGATAATCATAATCCTCACGACAAGTCCTTTATCCTTTCCTTTTCAGCTATGATCGCTCCTGCTATTGATCTGGACGGCATGGTTGGAGGTGGAGCAGAGCAAGTAGATGCATCGGTCAATACTGTTGGTATACATTGATCCTTGTGAATGATTTGTGATTTTCTACAGTTTTTTTCTTTAGTAAATTGTGATGATAAACTCGACGCTTGACATGTCCTTACTTTCTCCGTTCTCTGTCAGCTATGCTTGCTCCTGCTACTGAGCCGGAAGGCATGGTTGGAGATGGAGACAGAAATAGAGCAGAGCAAGCAGATCCATCGGCCAACAGTACTGGTACACTGAGCAATAGCGGCCGCAAAAACCGATCCGAGGTGCGGGACTATTTTCAGATTATACCATCTGTTAACGGAGAGCCTGCAAAAGCGAAGTGCAATTGCTGCGGCAGAGAGCTTACATGGGGTCACGGGACATCAGCTTTGCACAAGCATCTCAAAAGTTGCAACAAAAAACGTTCAGCAATTGAAGAGACGCCGAACCGTCCAAGGTACTACTTACCCCTCAAGTTCTGCATCGCAACGCTTAATATATAATATGCGTACATGTGATCCTTTAAATTATAGTATTAATTTTCTGATGACCAACCTGTGATTCTTTCCCTCTTGTAGTGTCGGCAACAGTGTACAAAATGGTGCCACAATTTCGACCGATGATTCAGACGGGAGAAAAAGAAAGAGAATTGAGTACAATGTAGCTACAACCACGCACCTCTGGGACAAGGCCGAATTTTTGAAAAGCATCCAGGAAATAGTTCTTGAGTTAAGAAGCATCCGACACGATGTGATTGAGTATCTCAAGGACTCTATTGCAAGGCCTGATCAGTATCAGATTAACAACTCAGATACACGAGTAAGAACATCAAACTCTCGTCCTGGAAAAGTATATGGAAGGGATGTGGAGGAAGACAATATCTTATGGGCGATCAGAGTTGCTAAGTCGGACAACGTTACTGTGCTACCTATTGTAGGCATTCCAGGAGTTGGGAAGACAGCTTTAGCTAAACTTGTATACAATGCACCACGTGTTGAAAGAAAATTTGAGCGGATATGGGTTTGGGTGTCCAACATCTTTGATGAAGTAAGAGTGACAAGGGAGATCTTAGACGTTGCTGCTCTAGCCAACCATGAAGGATCTCGCAAAAGAGAAAGCTATGAAGGAGTCAGCAACTACTCGAAACTTCTAGAGGCCTTAAAGAAACATATAGCATGTCTGTCCAAAAAGTTTCTACTTGTTCTAGATGATGTCTACGACTGCATGGATAATTCCCAATGGAAAGATCTAATAGATGCTTTGGGATCAAGTTGCAGAAAGGGTAATGTGATTATTGTGACAGTTAGAAATTTGGCCGTTGCAAAAAGGCTAGGTACAATAGAACCAGTTAAGTTAAGAGCTCTAGAAAATGATGATTTTTGGCTATTGTTTAAAGCATGTGCATTTGGTGATAACCAATGCAAAGAACATCTAGATATCGGCCGTCAAATAGCTACAAAGTTAAATGGCAACCCATTAGCAGCAGAAAATGCAGCAGACATGTTAAGAGAGCAGCCTGGTCTTCACCATTGGAAAAGCATCATGAAGAATGGTATTTGGGAATCTCTGCAACTCCGTGGAGGCATCGTGACTGCTTTGAAGAATATCTATTATCAGTTGCCATACAATTTACAACAGTGTTTCTTGGCATGTTCTATATTCCCTAGTGACCATCAATTTCATATTGATGGTTTGGTCTCCATGTGGATATCATCGGGATTTGTGAAATCTACTGAGACAGGATGGGATTATCTCAATGCTTTGGTCAACTCATGTTTCTTTGAGCAGGTTGGAACAAAAGATGACTCCATTCTACAACAATGCTATGTTATGTGTGGTATGATGCATGAATTTGCGAGACTGGTTTCAAGGACCGAGTTTGCAACTATAGATGGTTTAGAGTGCAAAGAAGTGCTACCAACCGTGCGCCATTTGTCAATTCAAACTGATTTGGTGTACCATATAGATGAATGTGAGAACATAGTTGGTAACGTGAAGTTTGAAGAAAAATTGCAAAGTATAGCTTCTTCATTAAGGAGATTGAGGACGGTGATCTTAGTTGGGCGCTATGATTCTTTATTCGTCCAGTTCAAGTCCTTCCATACCTTTATCTCCAATTTGGTAAATTGTACCCATCTTCGCTACCTAAAACTTGAGAACAAAGGCAAAAGTGAATCTTTGCCTATATCTCTAAGCAAGTTTTACCACCTTGAAATATTAGATGCTGGGTGCCAAGCAATTGTTCATGATATGAGTGATCTCATCAGCATGAGGCATCTTGTTCTGACAAAAGGAGCATGCGGTGCTTTCTCCCCAGCTAGGTCTGCTAGCTTGCAGATGATCCATCTAGAGGATTGTAAAGGATGGCAAATAATCCCATCTCTAGAAAGTCTATCATCTCTTACAAAGTTGAAGTTAAGGAATATGACAGAAGCAACAGAGTTGCTAATTCCTTCGTTAGAGGAGCTGGTATTGATTGATATGCCAAAGTTGGAAACATGTTTCTCCAATTCAGTGAGGGACTTGAACTCAAGTTTGAGGGTACTGGAGATCAGGAGATGCTGGGTACTGAAGGCCTTTATCCTCTTTGAGAGCTGTGAAAATTTTGAAATCGAGCACATGTCATGGTTGCCCAATGTTAGCGAGCTTACCATCGAGGATTGTCCTTATTTAATAGTATCAAATCCTCTACCACCTTCGAGTAGCCTTTGTAAATTATCCATCACAAAAGTTTCCGCACTTCCAGATACGGAGGGATCATCAAACGGGGAATACAGAATTGGATATTATGGTGATCGATCAACCATTCATTTCCTTGATGACAAAATTTTGTCATTCCACAACCTGAGGACCATAACTCGATTGCAAATAGTGGGCTGCAATAATCTGTTGTCTATTTCACTAGAAGGTTTGAAGCAACTCGTCTGCTTGAAGAGGTTGGAAATATGGTCATGCCAAACAAATTTCTCTTCAGATGTGTCGTCAACACATACCCATGAATACATGACAAGCACAAATTTTGATGCCGGTCCATCTCTCGATTGTCTCAGCATTACAGATTGTGGAATAATTGGCCAGTGGTTATCTGTGATATTGCAACATGTGCGAGCCCTAGAGACATTGGATCTAATGAATTGTGAGCATATAACGGGACTATTGATACAAGGTAAAGAGAATACTTTATCAAATGTCACCTTGGCTCCATGTGTTTCATCACAGGGAAATCCAGATGGCGCATCGACAAGGCCATGTCCTAACAAACTCCTGCGGATTCCAGCTAACCTCATACCCTCTCTCAAGAAGATGTCCATTGAATCTTGCAAGCTAAAGTTTCTGGGGAACAAGGAAGGATTCTCTGGATTCACCTCCCTTGAGAAGCTAAGAATTGTTGAATGCCCCGAGCTGATATCGTCCTTGATGCGTGAAGACGAAATCGATGACCAGGCAAACGGAAGATGGCTTCTCCCGTGTTCACTTGGCATACTGGATATCCATCGCGCTTCCCTAGAAACGCTGCAGCCCTGCTTTCCGGGAGATCAGACCCGCCTCAAAGTACTAGAAGTGTTCGGAATCAATGCATTGAAATCTCTACAGCTGCATTCCTGCACAGCACTGGAAGAGCTGACAATTCAATATTGCGAATCGCTAGACGCACTAGAGGGCTTCCAATCCCTCCGCGGTGTCAGGTATTTGAAAGTATACGAATGCCCAGGCTTACCTCGATGTTTGAAGAGTCTATCAACGCAGGGTTATGAGCTGTTCCCTCGATTGGAAAGGCTTCGGATCGACGACCCGTCTTTTCTTACCACGCCATTCTGCGAGCACCTCACCTCTCTCCAATGCCTACAGCTCGTGAACCAATGTGAAGATACCCCAGGACTAACATGCGAGCAAGAGGCAGCACTTCAGCTCCTCACGTCCCTGCAAGAGCTCCAATTTGTTGGTTACTGCGAACTCTCGGATCTTCCTGTGGGTCTGCATAGCCTTCTCTCTCTCAAGCGGTTGGAGATCAATGATTGCTGGAGTATCTTAAGGCTGCCAGAAAGGGGCCTCCCACCTTCCCTGGAAAAACTGGAGGTCCACCATTGCAGCATGGAGCTAACCGAACAATGCAGAATGCTAGCGACAAGCAAGCTAAATGTAAAAATTGATGGGAATTATGTGAACTGATTACAGGTTTCTCCACATCTCGCCTTGAAAGGTATACTTCTACCGTTGACCATGTTATCTTGATGGTTTACATACATTTTTATGTCTATTTGCAGGCATTCAAGCTGACGCCATGGCTGCAGTGACTGTCTTCAGAACCTATAGGAGTATCATACTGTTACAAGCTGTTCGAGCAAGTGTTGAAAGCACTTCCCTGTTTCTCCTAGGAGACCTGCTACAAATTACAAGGCTTATTGTTGACCACGGCCCAAGGGCCAGAACCAATGCCAAAAGTGCCAAAAGTGTTGTTCTTTTCACTCTGTAGCCTCAAAAACCTGATGTTTCTAGTTTCCAAAAAAAAAAAAAACTGATGTTTCTTGTGACAGGTTCTCTGATTCTGCACAGGGTTTTGTTTCACTTGTAAACCTTGTCCTCGTTGCTCAAGTGCTCATGTTGCTGAATGCTGTATACGGTTTTCCTGATTGGCCTTGCCGGCCGTTCTGAAAGCAGCGAGGTAGTAGAGGTTCTGTTGTCATATGACTGAAAGGAGCCTATCAGTATTTTCTTCCCGAGGGTGTTTATTCTTTATGTTGACTATAGAAGGCACTACAATATATATAGAGTGCACTTTCTGTAATCAAAAGAGTTGGTGTAAATAATGTTATCCTCAATCATCTTGCTTTCTTGCTAACCAGTAGACATAATGGGGACGGGATTGAAGCAACTCATTTATTTCTCTGCTATAAACCTGGACAGCGAGCAGCACCAATCGCAAGGAACGGTCCAAGGCATGGATGAGTTTTGGAATTCAGACTGCAAATGGCTGTTGAGTGTTGACGGAAACCTGTGAAAGAAGAGTGCATTCTCTACAATGGCTGTTAGGTGCAACACTACTGAAGGGACATCAGTTCTACACAATCGCAAGAGAGAATTTGTAGCTATTGGATTGACACCAAACTCAAACTCTTCAAGGTACTAGTTAGCTTGACTATGCAGAATTCATGTAGCAGCAATATAATTAATGGTGCACCTTTGCAATATCAAATTATGATCAGTCGTGGACAAAAATATTGAAACTTGCAACGTGTTTATCCAGAAAACAGCACGATATGATAGGTGAGGATAAAGTTTTTATTTTTCTAAAAAAAAAAGAAAGCAAAATGGACTTTTTTGAACTGTGATTCAGCGCAGCTCTGAATTACAACTACAAGCTACTTAATAACCAGGCCACGCTCCTTTAACTCATGTAGCGCTGTTGATGGTGCCATCATTTTGATTCATGATCCAGATAGCAAAAAAAAGACTGAAGACAGCACGTCCCTGGTAGGGATGACGGATGAGCAAGTAAAAACGTACTATAATACTATCCAAGGTGCTAGCGGCGGTGTTCAGACCTGCAGTGCTCCGGCGTCAGGCAAATCCACGGCATGGTTTTGGACGTTGGGTTGTCTCAGTCAGAGGAAGGACCTCATCACCCCGGATTGAGCCCTGGGCCGGGACACACTGCTTCTGTACTATAATACTATCCAAGGTGCTAGCGGCGGTGTTCAGACCTGCAGTGCTCCGGCGTCAGGCAAACCCACGGCATGGTTTTGGACGTTGGGTTGTCTCAGTCAGAGGAAGGACCTCATCACCCAGGATTGAGCCCTGGGCCAGGACACACTGCTTCTGTTTGGAACGCAGCACAGCTTGGTTATACAGTGTAAGTCGACCAGAAATTAATTGATATAAACAAAACTGTACAAACAAAACACAAAAAAGGGGATAGCTCAGTTGGGAGAGCGTCGGACTGAAGATCTGAAGGATTGAGCCCTGGGCCGGCATACTCTGTTTGGTACACAGCACACAGCTTAGCGGTCATATATGGTGGAGGCCACCCAGAAATGTATTCATATATAAGAATATATAAAAATGAAATACACAAGTGGAGATAGCTCAGTTGGGAGAGCGTCAGACTGAAAATGCAACTACTATTTTTGCATTCTCTTTTTTTATACTTTTCTCGTTGTGCTCATTCTTATTTTATTTGTTCTCACTGCGCTCAACTGAATAAAAAAACCCAAATATACTATAATAATCAAAGTAGCTACCTATACTATTCGTGCAAATTAACTTACTAGTTTTTTAAAACTTAATCTTTTTGGGTTCTCATGAATTCACGGAGAAGATGGATTCCACCGAGCATTTTCTTCTTATAGCCTGTTCGCTGGGCTGATAAGCCCGGCTGATGCTGGTTTGTCATGAGAGAAAAACACTGTATCATGACTGATAAGTCCTGGTTAAGACGAATGAGCGAACAGACTGTTAATCGACGTTGGTCCATGTTCAATTTGGAAACCGAAGGTTGGAGATATTTTTTTTGCGGATGATGAGTAGACACTTGTGCTGGTCACTGCTCCACGTTGCAGTGGAAATCGCGGGCCCTCTTTTTTCCACGCTTCCTCTGGTGACTGTGACTGGGCATAGACCATCGACCCGCTCTCTCATCTTTCCAGCTTCCATCCAACCATCCATATGCACTTCTGACTACTCTGCTTTGGCTACGCAGCCCTCAGTTTTGGCCCTCAGTTTTGCTTCCTCCTCCGTTCACCATCACCATGGCTCAGATCGATCTGATGGAGGTGGCAGAGGCGACCGCTGTGGAGCCGCGATTCTATGGCAGGTGCAAACTATCCTCGAAGCTCTTCTACCCACCGGCGAGCTCGACGCTTGGCTTCATGGAATCGGCCTCGCCGGTGCCATCGGGGAACTCAAGTCTGAGGTGGAGAGGATGGAGACTGTGATTAATGGTGTCAAGGGGAGGGCGGTCGGGAACAAGCCGCTTGCCCGCTCCCTCGCTCGTGTCAAGGAGCTCATGTATGACGCTGACGACGTCGTGGATGAGCTCGATTATTGTAGGCTCCAGCACCAGGTCGAAAGAGGTATGTATACATCCATCCTTGCGATTTGTGTTTTTTTTAGATTGTGATAATCATAATCCTCATGACATGTTCTTTATCCTTTCTTTTTCAGCTATGATTGCTCCTGCTATTGATCTGGACGGCATGGTTGGAGATGGAGCAGAGCAAGTAGATGCATCGGCCAATACTTTTGGTATACTTCGATCCTTGTGATCAGTGATTGTCTACAGTTTTTTTTCTTTAGTAAATTGTGATGATAAATGTCACGCTTGACGTGTCCTTACTTTCTCCGTTCTCTGTCAGGTATGCTTGCTCCTGCTACTGAACCGGAAGGCATGGTTGGAGATGGAGACAGAGATAGAACAGAGCAAGCAGATCCATCGGCCAACAGTACTGGTACACTGAGCAATAGCGTCCGCAAAAACCGATCCGAGGTGCGGGACTATTTTCTGATTATACCATCTGTTAACGGAGAGCCTGCAAAAGCGAAGTGCAATTGCTGCGGCAGAGAGCTTACATGGGGTCACGGGACATCAGCTTTGCACAAGCATCTCAAAAGTTGCAACAAAAAACGTTCAGCAATTGAAGAGACGCCGAACCGTCCAAGGTACTACTTACCCTTCAAGATCTGCATTGTATACAACTATGATGGACAAAAATTATGAACATTGCAATGCTTTCATTCTTTTTAAAAAAAAACCCCAAGCGTGAGCCAGCACCTTAATATATGCGTACAAGTTTTTGTTATTATAGGAAAGCAATATGATCGTTTTACTGAAACTATGACATCCAGTGCAACTTTAAATCACGGTAATAAATTTCTGGTGACCAACCTGTGATCCTTTTCTTCTTGTAGTGTCGGCGACAGTGTACAAAATGGTGCCACAATTTCGACCTATGATTCGGAGGGCAGAAAAAGAATGAGAATTGGGTACAATGTAGCTGCAACCATGCACTTTTTGAAAAGCATCCAGGAAATAGTTCTTGAGTTAAGAAGAATCCGATACGATGTGATTGAGTATCTCAAGGACTCTATTGCAAGGCCTGATCAGTATCAAATTAACAACTCAGATACACGAGTAAGAACATCAAGCTCTCTTCCTGGAAAGGTATATGGAAGGGATGTGGAGAAAGCCAAAATCATAAAGGCGATCAAAGCTGCTAAGTCGGACAACATTACTGTGCTACCTATTGTAGGCATTCCAGGAGTTGGGAAGACAGCTTTAGCTAAACTTGTATACAATGCACCACGTGTTAAAAGAAAATTTGAGCGGATATGGGTTTGGGTGTCCAACATCTTTGATGAAGTAAGAGTGACAAGGGAGATCTTAGACGTCGTTGCTCTAGCCAACCATGAAGGATCTCGCAAAAGAGAAAGCTATGAAGGAGTCAGCAACTACTCGAAACTTCTAGAGGCCTTAAAGAAACATATAGCATGTCTGTCCAAAAAGTTTCTACTTGTTCTAGATGATGTCTACGACTGCATGGATAATTCCCAATGGAAAGATCTAATAGATGCTTTGGGATCAAGTTGCAGAAAGGGTAATGTGATTATTGTGACAACTAGGAATTTGGCCATTGCAAAAAGGCTAGGTACAATCAAACCAGTTGAATTAAGAGCTCTAGGAAATAATGCTTTTTTGCAATTGTTTAGAGCTTGTGCATTTGGTGATAACCAATGCAAAGAACATCTACATATCGGCCGTCAAATAGCTACAAAGTTAAATGGCAACCCATTAGCAGCAGAAAATGCAGCGGACATGTTAAGAGAGCAGCCTGGTCTTCACCATTGGAAAAGCATCATGAAGAATGGTGTTTGGGAATCTCTGCAAATCCGTGGAGGCATCGTGACTGCTTTGAAAATTAGTTATTATCAGTTGCCATACAATTTACAACAATGTCTCTTGTTTTGTTCTATATTTCCGAATGGCTATTTGTTCCATATTGACAATTTGGTTCACATGTGGATATCGTCGGGATTTGTGAAATCTGTTGAGGCAGGACAAGATTACCTCAATGCTCTGGTTAACTCAGGTTTCCTTGAGCAGGTTATTATAACAGACTTCATTATACTTGGCCATAAAAAATGCTATGTTATGTGTGGTGTGATGCATGAATTTGCAAGACTGGTTTCAAGGGCCGAGTTTGCAACTATGGTTGGTTTAGAGTGCAAAGAAGTTCTACCAACTGTACGTCATTTTTCAATCCTAATTGATTCAATGTATCATAAAGATGAACGTGGGTTCATACTTCGTAATGGGAAGTTTGAACAAAAGTTGATGAGTATGATTTCTTCAGTGAGAAGATTGAGGACATTGATCTTAATTGGGAATTATGACTCATTATTCTTCCGGTCCTTCCATACCTTCATGTGCAGTTTGGTAAATTGTACCCATCTTCGTTACCTAAAACCTGAGAACAAAGGGAGCAATGAAGCTTTGCTTATATCTCTCAGCAATTTTTACCATCTTGAAATATTAGATGTTGGACAACCACTTAATGTTGATGGTACGAGTGATCTTGTCAGCATGAGGAATCTTATTCTAACAAAGGGAGCCTTCGGTGCTTGCTCCCCAGCATGGTCTGCTTGCTTGCAGAAGATCCATCTAGAGGATTGTGAAGGATGCGAAATACTACCATCTCTAGAAAGTCTATCGTCTCTTACGAAGTTGAAGTTAAGGAATATGCCAGAAGTAGCGGAGTTGTCAATTCCTTCACTTGAGGAACTGGTGTTGATTGATATGCCAAAGTTAGAGAGATGTTCCTCCAGTTCAGTGAGGGACTTGAATTGTTGTTTGAGGGTGCTGGAGATTAGGCGGTGCTATGTACTGAAGGCATTTCCCCTATTTCAGAGCTGTGAAAAATGTGAAATTGAGCAGCACTCATGGTTGCTCCATGTTAGCGAGCTTACCATCGAGAATTATCAAATCCTCTACCACCTTCAAGTAGCCTTTGTAAATTATCCATCACAAAAGTTTCCGCACTTCCAAACATGGAGGGATCATCAAACGGGGAATACAGAATTGGATCTTATGGTGATCCATCTACCATTGATTTCCTTGATGACAAAATTTTGTCATTCCACAACCTGAGGACCATAACTCGATTGCAAATAGTGGGCTGCAATAATCTGTTGTCTATTTCACTAGAAGGTTTGAAGCAACTCATCTGCTTGAAGAGGTTGGAAATATTGTCATGCCAAACAAATTTCTCTTCAGATGTGTCGTCAACACATACCCACGAATACATGACAAGCACAAATTTTGATGCCGGTCCATCTCTCGAGTGTCTCAGCATTAGAAATTGCGGAATAATTGGCCAGTGGTTATCTGTGATATTGCAACATGTGCGAGCCCTAGAGACATTGGATCTAGTGAGGTGTGAGCGGATAACAGGACTATTGATACAAGGTAAAGAGAATACTTTATCAAATGTCACCTCGGGTCCATGTGTTTCATCACAGGGAAATCCAGATGGCGCATCGACAAGGCCATGTCCTAACAAACTCCTGCGGATTCCAGCTAACCTCATACCCTCTCTCAAGAAGATGTCCATTGAATCTTGCAAGCTAAAGTTTCTGGGGAACAAGGAAGGATTCTCTGGATTCACCTCCCTTGAGAAGCTAAGAATTGTTGAATGCCCCGAGCTGATATCGTCCTTGATGCGTGAAGACGAAATCGATGACCAGGCAAACGGAAGATGGCTTCTCCCGTGTTCACTTGGCATACTGGATATCCATCGCGCTTCCCTAGAAACGCTGCAGCCCTGCTTTCCGGGAGATCAGACCCGCCTCAAAGTACTAGAAGTGTTCGGAATCAATGCATTGAAATCTCTACAGCTGCATTCCTGCGTAGCACTAGAAAAGCTGGCAATTCGATGTTGCAAATCGCTAGACGCACTAGAGGGCTTCCAATCCCTCCGCGGTCTCAGGTATTTGAAAGTATTCAGATGCCCAGGCTTACCTCGATGTTTGAAGAGTCTATCAACGCAGGGTTATGAACTGTTCCCTCGATTGGAAAGGCTTTGGATCGACGACCAATCTTTTCTTACCATGCCATTCTGCAAGCACCTCACCTCTCTCCAATGCCTACGGCTCGAGAACAAATATGAAGATAATATCGACGCGGCAGGACTAACATGCGAGCAAGAGGCAGCACTTCAGCTCCTCACGTCCCTGCAAGAGCTCCAATTTGTTGGCTACTGCGAACTCTCGGATCTTCCTGTGGGTCTGCATAGCCTTCTCTCTCTCAAGCGGTTGGAGATCAATGTTTGCCCGAGTATCTCAAGGCTGCCAGAAAGGGGCCTCCCACCTTCCCTGGAAGAACTGGAGGTCGACTATTGCAGCATGGAGCTAACCGAGCAATGCAGAATGCTAGCGACAAGCAAGCTAAATGTAAAAATTGATGGGAATTATGTGAACTGATTACAGGTTTCTCCACATCTCGCCTTGAAAGGTATAATTCTACCGTTGACCATGTTATCTTGATGGTTTACATACATTTTATGTCTATTTGCAGGCATTCAAGCTGACACCATGGCTGCAGTGACCGTCTTCAGAACCTATAGGAGTATCATACTGTTACGAGCAAGTGTTGAAAGCACTTCCCTGTTTCTCCTAGGAGACCTGCTACAAATTGCAAGGCTTATTGTTGACCACGGCCCAAGGGCGAGAAGCCAATGCCAAAAGTGTTGTTCTTTTCACTCTGTAGCCTCAAAAACCTGATGTTTCTAGTTTCAAAAAAAAAAAAAAACTGATGTTTCTTGTGACAGGTTCTCTGATTCTGCACAGGGTCTTGTTTCACTTGTAAACCTTGTCCTCGTTGCTCAAGTGCTCATGTTGCTGAATGCTGTATACGGTTTTCCTGATTGGCCTTGCCGGCCGTTCTGAAAGCAGCGAGGTAGTAGAGGTTCTGTTGTCATATGACGGAAAGGAGCCTATCAGTATTTTCTTCCCGAGGGTGTTTATTCTTTATGTTGACTATAGAAGGGACTACAGTATATATAGAAAGCACTTTCTGTAATCAAAAGAGTTGGTGTAAATAATGTTATCCTCAATCATCTTGCTTTCTTGCTAACCAGTAGACATAATGGGGATGGGATTGAAGCAACTCATTTATTTCTCTGCTATAAACCTGGACAGCGAGCAGCGCCAATAGCAAGGAACGGTCCAAGGCATGGATGAGTTTTGGAATTCAGACTGCAAATGGCTGTTGAGTGTTGACGGAAACCTGTGAAAGAAGAGTGCATTCTCTACAATGGCTGTTAGGTGCAACACTACTGAAGGGACATCAGTTCTGCACAATCGCGAGAGAATTTGTAGCTATTGGATTGACACCAAACTCAAACTCTTCAAGGTACTAGTTAGCTTGACTATGCATAATTCATGTAGCCGCAATATAATTAATGGTGCACCTTTGCAATATCGAATTATGATCAGTCGTGGACAAAAATATTGAAACTTGCAACGTGTTTATCCAGAAAACAGCACCATATGATAGGTGAGGATAAAGTTTTTATTTTTCTAAAAAAAAAGAAAGCAAAATGGACTTTTTTGAACTGTGATTCAGTGCAGCTCTGAATTACAACTACAGGCCACGCTCCTTTAACTCATGTAGCGCTGTTGATGGTGCCATCATTTTGATTCATGATCCAGATAGCAAAAAAAAGACTGAACACAGCACGTCCCTGGTAGGGATGACGGATGAGCAAGTAAAAACGTACTATAATACTATCCAAGGTGCTAGCGGCGGTGTTCAGACCTGCAGTGCTCCGGCGTCAGGCAAATCCACGGCATGGTTTTGGACGTTGGGTTGTCTCAGTCAGAGGAAGGACCTCATCACCCAGGATTGAGCCCTGGGCCGGGACACACTGCTTCTGTTTGGAACGCAGCACAGCTTGGTTATACAGTGTAAGTCGACCAGAAATTAATTGATATAAACAAAACTGTACAAACAAAACACAAAAGCGGGGATAGCTCAGTTGCGAGAGCGTCAGACTGAAGATCCGAAGGATTGAGCCCTGGGCCGGCATACTCTGTTTGGTACACAGCACACAGCTTAGCGGTCATATGGTGGAGGCCGCCCAGAAATGTATTCATATATAAGAATATATAAAAATGAAATACACAAGTGGAGATAGCTCAGTTGCATTCTCTTTTTTTATACTTTTCTGGTTGTGCTCATTCTTATTTTATTTGTTCTCACTGCGCTCAACTGAATAAAAAAACCCAAATATACTATAATAATAATCAAAGTAGCTACCTATACTATTTGTGCGAATTGACTTACTAGTTTTTTAAAACTTAATCTTTTTTTGGTTCTCATGATTTCAAGGAGAAGATGGATTCCACCGAGCATTTTCTTCTTACAGCATGTTCGCTGGTTAGTTTCTAGGCTGATAAGCCCGGCTAGTGCTGGTTTGTTGTGAGAGGAAAACACTGTATCATGACTGATAAGACCTGACTGAAACCAACGAGCGAAGATGGAGTTAATCGACGTTGGTCCATGTTCAATTTGGAAACCGAAGGTTGGAGATATGTTTTGCGGATGATGAGTAGACACTTGTGCTGGTCACTGCTCCACGTTGCAGTGGAAATCGCGGGTCCTCTTTTTTCCACGCTTCCGCTGGTGACTGTGACTGGGCATAGACCATCGACCCGCTCTCTCATCTTTCCAGCTTCCATCCAACCATCCATATGCACTTCTGACAACTCTCCTTTGGTTAGGCAACCGTAAGTTTTGCTTCCTCCCCCGTTCGCCATCACCATGGCTCAGATCGATCTGATGGAGGTGGCAGAGGCGACCGCTGTGGAGTCCGCGATTCTATGGCAGGTGCAAACTATCCTCGAAGCTCTTCTACCCACCGGCGAGCTCGACGCTTGGCTTCATGGAGTCGGCCTCGCCGGTGCCATCGGGGAACTCAAGTCTGAGGTGGAGAGGATGGAGACGGTGATTAATGGTGTCAAGGGGAGGGCGGTCGGGAACAAGCCGCTTGCCCGCTCCCTCGCTCGTGTCAAGGAGCTCATGTATGACGCCGACGACGTGGACACGTGGTGGATGAGCTCGACTCTTGCTGGCTCCAGCAACAGGTCTAAGGAGGTAGGTGTACACCTCGTTTACAGTTTTTTATTTGAAAATTGTGATGGTAACTTTCTCCTTTCTCTGTCAGCTGCTATTGAGCAGGAAGGCATGGTTGGAGATGGAGCAGAGCAAGTAGATGCATCGGCCAATACTGTTGGTAAGTATTTTGTGATTTTTTTCTTTATACCTTTTTTTTTTTGGAAAGGATACACAAAATAGCTCTTGACTTAGGAAGCATCCGAGGCTACATGACTTGAGTATCTCAAGGACTCTGTTACTAGTTCTGATCAGTATCATAGTAACACCTCAGATACACAAGTAAGAACATCAGGCTCTCATCCTCGAAAGTTGTATGGAAGGGACACAGAGAAAGACTATATCATGAGGGTGATCGAAGCTGCTAAGTCAGACATCATAACTTTATTACCAATTGTGGGCATTGTAGGAGTTGGGAAGACGGCTTTAGCTAAACTTGTATACAATGATCGACATGTTAAACACCAATTCGAGCATATATGGGTTTGGGTGTCCAATATCTTTGACGAAGTAAGAGTGATAATTGAGATCTTAGACGTTATTACCCTAAACAGCCATGAAGGATCTCCTCGCACCAAAGAAAGCTATGAAGGAGTAAGTAACTACACAAAGCTTCAAGAGGTCTTAAAGAATCATATGGCCTGTCAGCCCAAAAAGTTTCTGCTTGTTCTAGATGATGTCAATGACAGCATGGATGATTCCCGATGGAAAGATCTGTTGGATGCTTTGGTTGCACAAAGGGTAATGTGATTATTGTGACAGCTAGAAATTTGTCCATTGCACAAAGGCTAGGTACAGTCCAACCAGTTAAGTTAGGAGCTGGCGATGGACCGTTGACGGCTGCTACTCCACTCGCTCAGCGTAAAGGATTCAGTTCAAAGGATCCTATGGCATCTTCAAAAGCAAACTAATTTGGAAGGCTTAGGCGGAGAACAAATGCAAAGTCTTCACGTGGATTCTTGTACAAGAAAAAATACTCACGGTGGACAACCCGCAAAAAAGAGGGTGGCCTAACCAAGATCACTGCATGTTGTGTGATGGCCCTTTAGAAACATGCCTACATCTGTCCCTTCTATGCCCATTCGCCAAGGCGGTTTGGAACCAAGTCCTAACCTGGGAGCACTTTGACACGCATCTGATGTAGTCCGACCATGACCCGATCCACTTGAGTGCTTGGTGGGAGAAGACTGTGCCCAAGGTCGCAAAAGAAGAAAGGAGGCATTTCAATGGCTTGGTGATCTACACATGCAGGAATCTAGGGAAAGAAAGAAACCGAAGAATCTTCAATAATGCCAAGGAACCGGCTTCACAGGTCGCTGTGAGAATTAAGGAGGACATTGAGCAAAGGAAAAGGGCTTTAGAAAGGGGGGAACTAGCAAGCCGGTGCTGGAGCTGCACCCGGGCTGTGGTTCTGTGTGTTTGCCACTTCTTTTTTCCTTTGCTTTCACTTTCGTTCGGACTAAAATCTGTACATAAACTCCCTTTTGTTCTACCTTAATTGATAGGCAGAGCTCCTGCCGTTCATTTAAAAAAAAGTTAAGTTAGGAGCTTTGGAAGATGATGATTTTTGGCTGTTGTTTAAAGCATATGCATTTGGTGATAACAACAACAAAGAGCATCTAGACATTGGGTATCAAATAGCTGCAAAATTAAAGGGCAACCCATTAGCAGCAGAAATGTTAAGAGAGCAGCCTACTCTTGGCCATTGCAAAAGCATCATTAGGGATGGTGTTTGGGAATCTCTGCAACACCGTGGAGGCATCATGACTACTTTGAAGATTAACTATTATCTGTTGTCCTACCAATTACAGCAGTGTTTCTTGTTTTGTTCTATATTTCCAAATGGCTATTTGTTCCATATTGATGATTTGGTTTACATGTGGATATCGTCGGGATTTGTGAAATCTATTGAGGTAGGACAAGATTACCTCAATGCTCTGGTTAACTCAGGTTTCCTTGAGCATGTTGAAACAAAAGACTCCATTCTACACCATCAAAAGTACTATGTTATGTGTGGTATTATGCATGAATTTGCAAGACTGGTTTCAAGGGCTGAGTTTGCAACTATGGATGGTTTAGAGTGCAAAGAAGTTTTGTCAACCGTACGCCATTTTTCAATCCTAATTGATTCCGTGTACCATGAAGATGAATGTGGGATCATACTTCATAATGGGAAGTTCGAAGAAAAATTGAAGAGTATAATTTCTTTAGTGAGAGGATTGAGGACATTGATCTTAATTGGGGATTATGACTCTTTATTCTTCCAGTCCTTCCAAACCTTCATCTGTAGTTTGGTAAATTGTGCCCATCTTCGCTACCTAAAACTTGAGAACAAATGGAGCAATGAAGCTTTGCCTATATCTCTGAGCAATTTTTACCATCTTAAAGTATTAGATGCTAGACAACCAGTTATTATTGATGGTATGAGTGATCATGTTAGCATAAGGAAACTTGTTCTAACGAAGGGAGCATGCTGTGCTTGCTCCCCATCATGGTCTGCTTGCTTGCAGACGATCCGTCTAGAGGATCGTAAAGGATGGGAAATTCTCCCATCTCTGGAAAGGCTATCATTTCTTACAAAGTTGAAGCTAAGGAATATGCTCAGAGTAACAGAATTGTTAATTCCTTCGTTGAAGGAGCTGGTCTTGATTGATATGCCAAAGTTGGAAAGATGTTTTCCCAATTCAGTGAGGGACCTGAACTCAAGTTTGAGGGTACTGGAGATCAGGAGATGCTGGGTACTAAAGGCTTTTCCCCTCTTTGAGAGCTGTGAAAAATTTGAAATCGAGAAGTCATGGTTGCCCAATGTTAGCGAGCTCACCATCCATGGGTGTCTTCGTTTAATGGTATCAAATCCTCTACCACCATCAAGTAGATTTTGCAAATTGTTCATCGAAAGAGTTTCCGCACTTCCAAAGATGGAGGGATCATCAGCCGTAGAATTGAGAATCGAATCATCAGGGCTGACCCTGGATGACAAAATTTTGTCATTTCACAACCTGCGGACTATGACTCAATTGGAAATAATGGGCTGCGAAAACCTATCGTATTTTTCACTCGAAGGCCTTAGGCAACTCGTCTGCTTGAAGAGGTTGGCAATAGGTAATTTTTTCTCTTTGGATGTTCCATCAACGCATACCCATAAAAACATGGCAAACGCAGATTTTGATGCCTTACCGTCTCTCGAGTGTCTTAGCATTGTATATTGTGGAATAACTGGAGAGTGGTTATCTGTGATGCTGCAACATGTGTGAGCCCTAGAGGAATTGCATCTGCATACTTGTATGCAGGTAACAAGGCTATCGATACAAGGAAAAGAGAATAGTTTATCAAATCTCACCTTAGCTCCACGTGCCTTGTCACAGAGAAATTCATACCGAGATGGCGCATCGACTAGGCGATGTCCTAGCAAACTCTTGCGCATTCCATCTAATATTATCCCCTCTCTCAAGAAGATAGAAATTATATATTGCCATCTAACAACATTTCAGGGGAACAAGGAAGGCATCTCTGGATTCATCTCCCTTGAGGAGCTAAGAATTGTTGGATGCGACGAGCTGATATCGTCTTTGGTGCATGAAGATGAGATTGATGACCAAGCAAACGGAAGATGGCTTCTCCCGTGTTCACTTGGTGTACTGGATATCAGAGACGTTTCCCTGGGAACGCTGCAGCCCTGCTTCCCGGGAGATCTGACCCAGTCTTGCGGTACTAAAAGTGTGGGATATCTTTGCATTGATTTTGATGCTGAATGTTTGATGTGGTTTCAATCTAATCTATCTGTGCATTAGTGCGGCTTTATAATGTACAACTGATGTAACTAACTTGTTCAATTTACTGGTTTGCATGTTGTTGCAGCGGCTGGGCATCATCGTGAGAACTGGTCAGCGGTGCTGTAAGGTTAGTACTTCTATTCGTAAAGTGGAAACTTTAGGATGATAACTATTTATTTGCAGGACTGTGCAATTAATATAATGATGTTTTGTATCAGGTGACTGATTGCAAAGAGATTGAAGAGGCATGTCGCGCAGTGACAACGCTAGTGAACATTCAAGTGATTCCAACGCTAGTTACTAGGAGGATGTGAGATATGGTGCGGTTGTTGGTGGATACACAGCCACTGTAGCAGCTGGTGTCCCGGTACCACCTCCTTGCTTCGGTTGGCTAGAGTTGAACGGCAGTCAGTGGGTACGTAAGGTTCTTTCTCACCCAAAAACGAGCGGTCTAAATTTTTATATGGAACCTACTGCTTTTTTTGAACTGCACGAAATGCTAATTAATAACCATGGCCTGCGAGACTATGGGGACTTTGATACGCAGGAGGCTTTAGGGATGTTTCTTTGGGCACTAGCAAAACAAGTCGGACAACGGGACATGAGAGAACGGTTTAAAAGGGGTCTTGGGACGGTTAGCGAGAGGTTTGGTCAAGTGTTGGAATATGTCGCTAACTTTGTAGACGTGATTTGTACACCTAGGCACGTAGACATGTCAAAAGTGCATGATAGGCCGCACAAGTACACACCTTTCTTTGATGGCGCAATAGGCGCTATCGATGGGACACACATCAGGATCAATGTTGATAAGGTGTTCCATGATGATTACATAAATAGACACGGTTGGCCTAGCCAAAATGTGGTTGCAGTTTGTGACTTTGATGGGTGGGTTACATTTCTTGGTGTTGGCATGGCGGGGGCAGTGCATGATATGAGGGTCCTTAGGGAAGCTTGGATGAAACCCAGGTTCCGGCACCCACCTCTAGGTTAGTTGCATTTGCTGTTATAAAATTGAACTCGATGTTATCATGGTAATGCAGATGTTTGATGTGCTGATAAGTTGAAGGGGTTGTCATGTGCAGGTAGGTACTATCTGGTGGACTCAGGCTATACAGGTGAACATGGTTACTTGGGGCCACACAAAAGGCACAGGTACCATTTGAAAGAGTTTGACGATAGGCCGGCTCAAGGTCCTAACGAGGTATTCAATTTCCACCATGCTAGTTTGCGTAATGTGGTGGAAAGATTATTTGGGGTGGTCAAAGCTTGGTGGCACATGTTGAAAGGAGTGCCACACTATCATAGGGAGAAGCAGGATAACATTATTAAGGCAGGTTTTGCCCTTCATAACTACTTGAAAAAAATGAAGTAACTAAGCCACTCCATCCACTAAGCCCATTGTCGGTGTAGTGGCTTACTGCAAGTGCAAATGATTCCATGGACAATGTGAGGATGTGGATTACCCATGGACTGACAAATTTGGGGTACAGGTAAGCCAATGGTGCTAGTGGCAAGTTGATGATTACAGTGCAAATGGACAGGAATTTGATAATTGTCTTTTTGCTGTTACAGGTAAGCCAATGTTGCTGGTACTGGGGTACAGGTAAGTGACTATTGTGTTTGTACCATGCTGTTGTTGGTGATTATGTGCCTGAGGAGGGTATAAATTTTGTGTAGCTGCATTGAGGTCATTGGAACAGCTACATGTGTTGTATAACCTATGTGTACTAGAGTACTGTGTTGCACAAATAGACTGTGTATTGAGACCTGGGTGTTTATCTTGTATGAAATGTATGTCTTATGAATGGTTGGTTCGGTTTACTGTTCATTGACACCAAATGTGTAGTGAAACCTGGGCTGTTGGCGCCAGATTTTAAATGGGCCTGTTGAATTCAAATCAGCCATGATCCAACCAGCCGAACAGGGATCAACCCACTCCAGCCACTTCCAGCCCAGCCCCAACCAGCCGTGTGTAAATCTTCAGCCTCTTGCCATTTCCCACGCTCAAGCCAATCGCCATTGCCGCGGCACACTGCTACTAGCTAGCGACTAGCGAGGACACAAGAGACCGATCATCAATGGACCCCGAAGCCGCGCTCCCGAGCATCGTGGACTCTGCCTCTGGCGCGCTCCGCAGCAGGGCGATGGTGCCGTCGGCGATGCTCACGGCCGGCGTATTCCATGCTGTGGCGGTGCTCGCGCTCCTCTTCTCCAAGACTCCGGAAGGTATCTTCTCCCACCACGGCAAGGCGGCCGTTTTCGTGTACTACATCGTCCTCGTTGCCGGGGCGATCATCGGCTCCACGACGGCCTCTGCTTCATTCTGGGTTGCACGCCGCCTGGACTGCCGGCATGCCATTGGCATGGCGCTGCTCCGTGCTTCGACACTCACGCTGATACCTGTGTTCGGGATACTCGCCGGATTCGTCATGCTCAGAAAGTAGTCTCAGACGCCACCTGTGTATGTATTTGTTGCCAGTGTTGGGATCGCTGATACTTGTATGATTGTTGTACCGAAATTTATTAGTTGTGTTTGTATGAAACATGCACGAGGTTTACACAGGTGCTTGCCCATTATTTTTTGGAGTGTCATATGTATGTATGCCAGAGATTTTTTTGAACTGAATGTACGCAAGAAATTGATTTGGGTAATTTTGTTTTTTTTTTCCTGAGGAAAGATCGATTTCAGTTTTACTGTACTGTGAATCTGTGATGATTAATCAAGGTAACAAGGTTTTAGAGAAGTCATTTGGTGTATCGTCGCTCGTGTTTAGCTTGCTGTTTGCAGCTGAATCGTTATTAGCCGGAACAGAGCAACGAGGCTATTGTGACCGTGGCTACTAACTCCGTTTTCGTTTACTTGTCACCGAATTTTTACTGTAGCAATTTTGACCATGCGTTTTTTCTGCAAAAGATTTTTAGATACATATGTTTCATCTCGTTTTTCAGATGGACGTTGCATATGTTTTCACACATATGAAAGTGTTTTCAGGTGTTTTTTTTCAAGTGTTTCGTACGTATGTTTTGAGTGTTTCAGCTATTTCGTCACGTATGTTGCAAGTGTTTCATCTGAATGTTTCAAAAGTAGATCTGGTATTGCAGTTGGTGTTTTAGATGCATGTTTCATATATTTTATCTGCCTTTAAACGTATGTTACGAGTATTACATCTCTATCTTCGCTTTTACGCTGTTATCTTCGCGACGGTGTCTCCTGCGGCCCTCCTCCTTTCTGCACCTGGGCATCCGCCGAGCACAAACAAAAGCAGGCCAAGCCGTGGTGGCTGGGCGAGGTCAGCCCTTTCCTTCTGGACCAGAAACGAGAACGAAATTGTTCACAAAAAAAAAAAACGAGAACGAAATTTCAAGAGCTGACAACCGGGGTCCGGGGTCAGGTCGGTCACAAACATATGAATCCATTGGTCGACCATGGAGTCATCAGCGCACTAGACCCGTTGCCGGTGCCGGTTCCGGTTCCACGTCGGCTTCCAGACTTCCAGTAGCACTGTGGTTGTTGAAATGGGACCTATCGGCGCACCTGAGTTCCGTTCTGTTGGATCGGACAAGGGCGGACAATAGTTTTCTATCAGCACCTTTGGCTTTGCCTCTGGGCAGCAAAAGACAGCAGACGCAGCACTAGGACACCGGTTCCGGTTCCACACGTGTTACGTGGGCAAGCATCAAGCTAGCTAGTCTTTTCCCTCTGTCTGACATTTAAAAAAAAAATCTATGTGGCATACTAGTAAGAGACTGAACTGTACCAGAGAGATGGGTCTCCCGGGCTGCACTCCTAGCGTACGGCAGAGCTCAGGACTGTGACGACACCCGGTTCCGGTTCCAAGTCCCGCTCCAGTTCCTCCGTCAGACCGTCACGCGTTCATTTGTGTTCCTCCGTCAGACCGTCACTGTCAGAGCTCACGAGCACAATCAGAAGCACGCCGAGCCGTGTGGTGGCGGGCAGTGCGCACCAGAAACGAGCAAGAGCTGACAACCGGACTTGGGTCGGTCACATGGATGAATCATCCATCGCCGTGGAGCTCATCACTCATCAGCACACTGGTTCCGGTTCCGAATCCACGTCGGCTTGCACCTTTGCAGTACCATGGACTCCATCTCCATGCCCATGGAGGATTGGTGGTTGTTGAAATGGACCTATCACTATCAGCGCACCTGAGTTCCATCGCACGACGGCGGACAAATATAGCACCTGACGTCAACCCTTTCTGCTGGTTGGTCTGTGCATAAAGACACAGCACAGTGACAGCGGTTCCAGTTCCGGTTCCGTTATGTCCGGTTCCACGGTTGGGCTTTTAAAGATTCTATCGAACACGGTCAAAGTAGCTTAGGCAAGGCAGCCCCTGATCAATCTTGTGCCTCTCGCGTTCCACCAAGCTAAGCCATTTTTGTATCTGACGACGTCCTTTTGCTTTCTTTGGAATTTGGGAAAATTAGTTCTATAACACTGAAAGATCGCGATATCCGGAAAATACCATCGAAAGCTTTCCGTGCGTGAAATAGCACCGAAAGAATGAACCGTTACCTAAAAATACCATTCCGTCACGGTCTGAGATAACGCTGTGAATTCCGCGTCATGGTGGTCATGGCCCCAGGCAACCTCGCCGCCTCCCGGCGTTGACTTCGGTCTGGTGGCGCTCCCATTACCTAGCCACCCGGAGCTGCCCACGGGCGTTGAGTCCACAGACGCGCACCCTCGCACTCGCTCTTCCCGGCGTTCCTGCACACCATGGCGCTGCTCCGGGATCCCTTCGCAGGGTACCTGGCCTCGCTCCCCTCGCCACTGCTCGTGCTCGTCTCCTAGTTCTTCCTCGAGTTCACGCAGCGCGTCGCCCGTGTCCCCCACGTGATGTTCCACAGCATGTCCGTATTCTCCTTGGCGCTCTGCTTCTCCCTCGCGACCAGGCCACCCCCGGTCGAGAGCATCCAGGATGACACCCCCTTCATCGTCCCGAGGTTCCCGTAGAGCGTCACGATCACCGCAGACGAGGTCCCACATGCCGTGGCACAGGGCGCCGACCTCGCCGACTTGGTGACATAGTTCTTGTTCGACGACCTCGAGTCATTCTACCTAGTTGGCCTGCTGTTCCTCGCCACCGGCGAGTCGCGAAGCGACGGCGACAAGGACGAGGACCCCAAAGGGTGCCTTGCGTGGCTCGACGAGCGGCGGTTGGTGGTGTACGTGTCGTTCGGCACGCAGGTCCACGTCACCGTGGCGCAGCTCGAGGAGCTTGTGCACGGGCTAGCGGACTCCGGTGGCCTTGGCGAGCAACGCCTCCATCTCCTCGATGCGGTGCTTCAGGCGGCCGATGTGTGTGTCGGCATCGTCATGGAGCCTAAGCACGCCGCCGATGACGTGCGCGGGGGCGTGGCGCTACAGCCAGCGTGCGATGCCGCAGTCGGGTGCCTCCATCCAACGTGACAGCTGCGCGGCGAGCCAGGTCGAGCGCCTCCTTGATCCGCGCCATGAGCTCGCCGAGCTCCCCCATAGAGCGCTGGGTGTGCGGGCCGAGGCCCTGGAAGAGAGGAAGCAGTGGCTCGATGCTCCAGCGCAGACGCTCGCCAGTGGACCGGCAGAACAGGGGGGCCTGCACCACGTGGAACAGCTCCCACAGGGCCTCGCCGCCCAACTGGTTGAGCAGCAGCCGGTCCATGGTCGCCGTCGCAGCTAGTTGCTTGGACCGAGCTCCTCGTGGCCTTCCTCTATCTATATCGCCATCTTCGGCTCCTTCTCCTGCTTGCGTGTGCTCGGTCCTGTCTGTCACCGCGTTCACAGGAGGGGTAGAGCTGCTCCTGGTGGGTTTCCGCCACAAATCGACATACGGATGGCCCCAACATGCCACGAGGATTGGTGAGAGGGTGGGAAGAGGATGACGAGTGGGACCGTCCTTTCTGAGTGAAGTAGAGTGAACGTGAGGTAGACACCGTTAACAACCAGTTGACAGAATGCTAGATTCTGGAACAGATTATTTCTTTCAGTGGTATTTTACGTAACGACAAACTTTTAATGGTATTTTTCGGATGTCGTGATCTTTCGATGCTATACAACCAATTTTCCATTGGAATTTTCTATCCGAGAGCATACTACTAGTACGTTGAGCTCCGGACAGCGACACCGGTTCCGGTTCCTCCCGGTTCCGGCACGCGTCGTCCTCGGCATCTATTTATCTCCCACGGCGAATGCAGCAGGCCCTCGCTCAATCTTCAACCTCTTGCCCTTCCCAAGCTCAAGCTCAAGCGCCATTGCTGCTGCCAGCACACACTACTGCTTCTAGCTACTAGCCAGGACATAGAGAATTGATCCATGGGCCCCGAAGCATCGATCACGAGGGTCGTGGACTCCGCCTCCGCCGCCCTCCGCAGCAGGACGATGGTGCCGTCGGCGATGCTCACCGTCGGCGTCTTCCAAGCGGTGGCGGCCCTCGCGCTCTTCTTCTACAGGACTACTCCCGAAGGCATCTTCTCCCACCACGGCAACGCGGTCGTCTTCGTGTATTACGGCGTCCTTGTGGCTGGTGTGATCGTGGGCTCTGCGACGGCCTCTGCTTCTTTCTGGGTCGCGCGCCGCCTCGAGAACCGGCATGGCATTGGCATGGCTCTCCTCTGCGCTTCCACGCTCACCCTCATCCCTGTGTTTGAGATACTCATCGGCTTCGTCATGCTCAAAAAGTAGTCTCAGACACCTTGTATGTATGTTGGGATTCAACATTTTTCTGTTGGCATACTTGTATGTTGTATGATTGTACCTGAAGGAATTTATTAGTTGTGTTCGTATGAAACATGCATGAGGTTTGCAGGTGTTTTTGCCCATTTTGGAGTGTCATATATGTGTATGTACGTAAGACATTGGTTTGAGTTATTTTTTCTGATTTTTTGTTCGAGGAAAGATTAATTTGGGTTACCGTGCTGTGATCATTAGTCATGGTAACAAGATTCTGGTTGTGAAGTGGTGGATCTTCTTGTGTTTGCATGTCTCTAGACTAGGCACAAATGCTGCACTCTGTTATACAGCAGTACGTTGCTCGTGTTTAACTTATGTTTCCGTCTGAATGGTCATTAGCAGGAACAGAGCAACACGGTTGTTATTGTGATGAAGGCAACTGGACATGCTCCAGTTCCGGTTCTGGTTCCACGGTTCGTTTTAAAAGAAGATTCTGATCAAGGTTATTGCGCGTTTATCCTTTGATTGATGAGTAGTCCGGACGGGGAAAGCTTGACGGAAAATTTTGAGGATCGTGTACGGGCGCCCAAGTTCTCAGAAACAAGAAACAGAACTTACTTTACGGGCTTCCCGTCTACGGGCGTGTTCCAATCTTTAAAAAAGCACCGGAACCAGAACTGGAGCTGGAGCTGGAACCGGAACCGGAACCGGTGTCACTATCAACCTTACGCTATTCACCCTGTTCGCTAGATCATTTCTGTGGCTTATAAATCGACTGATGCTGTTTTGTTATGAGAGAAATACGTTGTATCATGGCTGATACGATGAAGCGAACATGGTGATTATCAGCATCAAAGGTTGACTGTGCCCAAACACAACCGACTTGTTTGCATAAATAATGCGCAGAAAGGCAGTGCTAGCTCTCTGTAATGTAAACCAAAAAGAAATGGTACTACTACTAGTAAGTTACGGACTTACGGTTAGTGAAGTGAGATATGGCAAATTAACCTTGATTAATCAAAGGATAGCAGAGGAGCTCCTCCTGGCGTCCAAGCTCAGTTCTCATTTTGGAAGCGATGATGTTATTCCCATGATCCAAAAATGATACGCTCAACTGAAGAACGTGTATGCGTACTTATCTGAAAATTCACATAGGAGGAGCAAATGTAAGCTAGTGTTTGGTTGGTGGGATGAGATGAGATGGGATGTTTAGAGATGTTTCATTGTGGGTCTCATTAAAACAGTAGCTAACGGCATCAAATCCGCCATCCATCCAATTCATATTTATCCTTTCAATCAAACACAAAATGGGTCGATCACGTCCCTTATCTACCAAACACAAAATAGAGCAGTTCCGTCCCCATCCCGTCCCATAAATCATAGACGGGCAGAGCTGTCTCTAGGGGGAGGGCTAGAGGTGCGACCGGCCGGGGCCCAAGCTGTTAGGGGCCCTATGAGTATACATGTATGTACTAGATATATATATAGCCATTATAATAAGCTTTTGAAGATCCATATATTTAGCACAATAGCCCATGAGAGTTTTGAGGGCAACGTCTTTTCCTATTTCCGATTGATATTGTTCTTATAGATTTTGCATCATGAAATTTAAAAGATTTTACATCAAGAAATACTCAAAGATGGTTTTTATAAAGTACTAAAGCATTATTGTTTTATTCAGGGCAATCATAATAGTTATTTTATTGTTCTTATAGTTCATTGGTTGTACTATCATTTTTTAACTAAACACATAATGAAAGTTAAGTTTATCATATTATATACTTTAATTGTTATATTAAAAAGATTAGTTTAACGGGCCCTTACGATCATGCTTGCCCAAGGACCTTTAAAATTATAGAGACGGCCTTATAGACATGACCATTCCACTTCACCTTGACTCTCAACTAATGCTACCTAAAAACTAAGCAACCAAATATAGGGCACATTCAGCGACACTTTAGTGGAGGGTGTAAACTTTCTAAAGTAGTACTACCATGAACACTATGTGTACTAGACAAGTTCTCCATTCTTTGCAAAATGCAGCCTCTTCAGTTTTTTCTCAATTTAAATTTTTTATAACTTTAACTGAGTTTATACAAAAATATACTAACCTATACAATATGAAATATCAAGAAATATTTCATAATAATATTAATTTGTTGCTACTGATAATGTTGGTACAACTTTCTATAAAATTGATCAAGGTTAGAGTAATTTGACTTAGTAGAAAACTAACAAAAAATTTGACATTGAGGGAGTACTTAGTCGAGTCAAAATTCTGTCACTTTAATTGAGTTTACAAAACAAATATACTAGCATCTATAATACCAATTGCTTCATGGTGGACTTAAATTAAACTTATTTGATGTTGTAAATGTTTACAATTTTCTTGTAGCTTAGAGAGAGCGAGTATAAACTACTGTGCATATGTGTGTTGTTCAGCACAACCTTTACTTCAGCAGTACTTTTTAGCAACGAACAATGTTTTTCTCTCACAACAAATCAGCCTAAGCCAAATTTCAGCGAAGCGAACAGGGCCTTAAACATTACAGTGGGTTTGCTTCGGTGTGTTCGTGCTATGAGTCTGGACTTGCATAGTTACACAGTTTATATAAAATCTGTTTGTTTTTCTTTCAATATTTCGTAATTTAGAAATACATTGCAAAATACTGAGTGAGCAATTTAGTTTCGGTCTTTTGGCTCATTTACGATGTAGACCGAACTAATAGTTTTAAGACATGTTGTGACAACAAATCTTGGCATCAATTTCTTTGTTCAAAAGCATGTTTTGACAGTAAAATATCACGAGGTAAACATAAATATATCAAACACTAACACTAATATAGTTGTTGCCACTTAATAACATATAAACATTCAGTCGTTGAAAGTTCAGATATATAACACCTAATCATCAAGCAAATAATAACAGCTATTTCAGTTAACTGTGGGTTAATAACCGAAGCCTAAGACTGAAATATCCAAAACAAATTCGGTTAGCTGCATGACTGAATTTATGAACGAAGTATTCGGTTTCGATCATGTCAGTTTTAATTTCAAATAATTAATTTTGGCTTGGTCTTTCGATTTCGGGTAATTCCCTAGTTACACGAGCACAAGCAAGCCGCGGTGACTGGGCACGGGCAGCCCTTCCATGCTACTAGACCAGAACCGGCATGAAATTTCAAGAGCTGGCAACATGGGTCACATATTCACATGATCACATCGATGGGTGGAGTGTGGAGCTCATCACTCATCACCAATAGTGATAACGGTTCCGGTTCCGGTTCCGTTTCCAGTGCCAGCTCGGGTTCCGGTACCACGGTTTGTTGAAATTGAAATGAACCGATTGATCCGTCAAGCACATGCACGATCGAGATGTGGTGACCGGCCTTTCATGCTTTGCGACAAGTGACGACGAGCCCGAAACATAAAAAGACAAAAGCTGACTACGAAGAGCTCAGCACAAGGACACCGGTTCCAGTTCCTGGTTCCGTTTTTTTTTTTTTTTTTTTGAATAGGATCCAGTTGCCGGTTCAGCAGATCGAGGAAGCTGAAGATGAAAGCGAGCTGATATCTCCCAGCAACGACTGTCAATTCTTGCTTGGACATCTTGATTCTTGACCAATAAAGTTTTGGCATGACGAGCGTACCTTTGTCTAAAGGAAAGGCCATGATAATAGTAGTCTGTTTAAACACCGTTAAGACAATTTAAACGGCTGTTCAGCCCGCTTAATTGTTTTGCATCTTTATTATTTTTCCCCAGACGAGACATTCCAGGATGAGAAAGGGTATTTTGTTAGGTGACCATCGCATCCACCAATCTCGCTTCAGTATTTGCTAGTAGCATTTGTTATTTTTGGGCTTACCGCATTAGAACTGCCTTTTCTGTGCATTATTTACGCAAACAAGTGGGCTGTGTTTTCTGTCTGAAAGAGCAAACACCACAGTCAACCTTACATGCTGACAACAGCGTACCGTTGATAGTGACATGGGTTCCGGATCCGGACATCCGGTTCCAGTTCCAGTGCTAGTTCCGGATCCTTTTTAAAGATTGTGGAACACGCGTGCACTTGGCGGTCAATGTAGCAGGCATCCATCCATCCAGCATCCATGATCCATCTTTATATACGCAGGCAGAGGCAAACCCCAGACGCCATGTTCGTCGACAGAAGCTCAATATCGAACCTCTCTGTCATTCCACCAAGCGAGCCATTTCTCTCTCGCACAAACTTGACACTTGCAAGACAGATGGACGGGGAAGACGTGGTCATGAGGGTCGTGAGCTCGACCTCCGCTGCCCTCCGCAGCAGCCCGATGGTGCCGTCGGCGATGTTCTCCGCCGGCGTCTTCGAGGCGGTGGTGGGCTTGTGGCGCTCGCGTTCCTGGTCGTCAACACTCCCGAAGGTATTTTCTCCTTCCACCACGGCAAGGCGCTCGTCGTCGTGTACTACTGCATCCTTACGGCAGGGGCCATCGTCGGCTCTGCGACGGCCTCTGCTTCTTTCTGGGTCGCACGCGATCTCGAAGGCCGGCATGCCACTGGCATGGCGCTCCTCTGCGCGTGCACCCTCACTCTCATCCCTGTCATTGGGCTTCTCGTTAGCTTCTTGATGCTCAAAAAATAGCTTCAGACATGTACTTGTACTCTTCTACGTATGATTGTACAAAAAATTAGCTGTGTTCGTTTTGAATGGTGATATTTGAAGGTGTTCTGTCCATTTGCAGTGTCATCTGTACGTAAGAGAAACGGTTGAGCTCTGTCAATTTTCTGTCCGAAGAAAGAGTAATTTGTCTTGTGTGCTGTAATGATTTGTATTTGTACAGGATAATGAGATTCTGGTGGCTCTAAGGTGTACGCACAAATGCTGCACTCTGTTATACGTCAGCTAGAAATGCCATTTGGTGTATCTTGGATCGTCTTTAACTTGCTGTTTGCATCTGAATTAACATTAGTCTGAACAGAGCAACAAGGCTTTGTGATGAAGACAACTGGACGTGCTCCGGCTCCGGTTCCGGTTCCAGCTCCTGTTGGCCCATCGCGTTGACCAGTCCGGTTCCAGCTCCGGTGGGCTGCTGTGCCGATCCCCCGCCGCCAGCACCTCGCCCGCCGCCTGGGCGCATGGCCCCGCCGCGCTCCTGCTATCGCGTCACCACCACCGCCACTAGCCTTGGGCCCGGAAGATGGCTCTTCGGTTTTCGCACGCGTCAGCCCAACCAGATCGGTGCTCCGGACTTCGATCGGTGAGTCAGGTTTCGCGTCGCCTGCTCGATTCTGGTGCGAACGATGTCATGTGGTGGGTGCTGGTTCTGTGCAGCTGGTGCAGTTGCGGAGGTGGATTAAGCGCCGGGGAAGGGCGTGCTGCAAAATCCCCTCCTATTTGTGAAAGTACATTGAGATATCAGGGATTGATTCAGGACTTTTGACGGTGTTTTCTGTCCAACTACTCGCAGTTCTATCATTTGAATAGTGATTGGTTAAAGAAATTTCATGTTAGGATATATACTGATCTGCTCTCACATTGCCAATCAGCTATAATGTTTCTGCTATCAGCTCGTATACAACTGATCTGCTCTCACTTAGCTAATCATCAGTATTAGGATGCTCGTCTGTTTTATGGACCCGAATTCCATAGGCTACAAGGGTTGTCAATCTGAACCTAGTCTAGCTCCGGCACTGTCCTAGCTTTGTTTGCTAAAAAGAAAACTATTTACCTGGCATTACCGCTATTATCAAGGTTAACGTAATAGTTGATCATGTACCACACATGGCAACATTTCTTTAAACAGAACCATAAATGTTCTTTTACTTCGATTTTGTTTCCAAGATGATAATAAAAAAGGGGGACACCCTTTTCAACAGTGCTTTGCCCTAATCATAATGAATCTTAGGGATATAATTATTCTGCAAGGCAAAAGTTCATATTTTTGATGGACCAAGCAAATGACCCCATGGAGTGACGGAGGTATGATTCCTTTTTCTAACATTTTCTCCTTGCCTGGTCTGCTTTTACCTATTCTCTTTTGTCAAGGGCGTTGGTGCCCAAGACACCGGGTTCCTGACTCCAGAGTTTGTAGGTAGGTTGGGCACTGGTGCTGGGATTCTTCCCTAGACGCCCTATGGTGAAGGGGGTGAGATTAAGAGCAGCAAAGGTAGATTAGGAGATAACTTGTTTCTTGATTGATTTATCATAAGCTAATTACAGAATATATAGAGCAACCCTAGCTCTTGGGCGCCCAGCTCTGGTCTCTTCGTTTGTCTCCCCATTAAACATTCTCTCATTACTCTAATCTCTTCCCCATAAACCTTAATTGCTGCTGACTACAACTGGTACCTCCTTGGATGCCGCTCTGGCCCTTCTGGCCACATCTCGAGCCCTGGGACGCCTTTCATAATGGCGCCCCCACATCACATCTCTCCCTCCCTCGACGAACAGCTCGTCCTCGAGCTAGAAGCTTGGATAGTGGTCGATGAAGCTTTCGAGGTCTTCCCAGGTGGCCGATGCTGCGGGCTCGCCTTGCCAATGTACCAGCACCTGCCGCACGCCCCTGGCCAAACAAGTGCGTGTGGTGTGCTCTGGAATCGACTGCGTCGCGCCGTGGTGGGTGGGGGCCAGTGCAGCTGGTGCAGTTGCGGAGGTGGATTAAGCGCCGGGGAACGGCGTGCTGCAAAATCCCCTCCTATTTGTGAAAGTACATTGAGATATCAGGGATTGATTCAGGACTTTTGACGGTGTTTTCTGTCCAACTACTCGCAGTTCTATCATTTGAATAGTGATTGGTTATAGAAATTTCATGTTAGGATATATACTGATTTGGCTCTAGGTCATGTTTGGGTCTGTAATTGGCAGAGTCGCCTCTTCCTGGTAGCGAGCATGAGCTTGCGCAACTGATCTGCTCTCACATTGCCAATCAGCTATAATGTTTCTGCTATCAGCTCGAATACAACTGATCTGCTCTCACTTAGCTAATCATCAGTATTAGGACGCTCATTTGTTTTATGGACCCGAATTCCATAGGCTACAAGGGTTGTCAATCTGAACCTAGTCTAGCTCCGGCACTGTCCTAGCTTTGTTTGCTAAAAAGAAAACTATTTACCTGGCATTACCGCTATTATCAAGGTTAACGTAATAGTTGATCATGTACCACACATGCCTACATTTCTTTAAACAGAACCATAAATGTTCTTTTACTTCGATTTTGTTTCCAAGATGATAATAAAACAGGGGACACCCTTTTCAACAGTGCTTTGCCCTAATCATAATGAATCTTAGGGATATAATTATTCTGCAAGGCGAAAGTTCATATTTTTCATGGACCAAGCAAATGACCCCATGGAGTGATGGACGTATGATTCCTTATTCTAACATTTTCTCCTTGCCTGGTATGCTTTTACCTATTCTCTTTTGTCAAGGGCGTTGGTACCCAAGACAGCAGGTCCCGACTCCGGAGTTCGTAGGTAGATTAGGCACTGGCGCTGGGATTCTTCCCTAGATGCCCTATGGTGAAGAAGGTGAGATTAAGAGCAGCAAAGGTAGATTAGGAGATAACTTGTTTCTTGATTGATTCATCATAAGCTGATTACAAAATATATAGAGCAGCCCCAGCTCCTGGGCGCCCAGCTCTGGTCCCTTCGTTTCTCTCCCCGTTAAACATTCTCTCATTACTCTAATCCCTTCCCCATAAACCTTAATTGCTGCTGACTACAACTGGTACCTCCTTGGATGCCGCTCTGGCCCTTCTGGCCACATCTCGAGCCCGGGGGCGCCTTTTATATTGGCGCCCCCACATCACATCTTTCCCTCCCTCGACGAACAGCTCGTCCTCGAGCTAGAAGCTTGATAGCGGTCGATGAAGCTTTCGAGGTCTTCCCATGTGGCAGAACCGTCTAATCTAATGCCTCATAGGAGTACTTGTCTTCCATTAGACACTAAGTACTCAAGAAAGGACACTACATTACGCAGTTCCGTCGAGCACACCCCAAGGGAGAACCCGAAAATCCACATTTTCCATCAGGATCACAAATGAGAGAATAAAGCTTACAACATTCTTAAGACATTTCTTACATCACTTTCCATGCAACATCAGAGTATAATATTTATTGTTTATAATAGCGGAATATAACTATGTTATCAGAGTTTCAGCGGAAATAAAATCATCAAATGACAAGTTAAACATTAACATGATGATCCGTTATATACATCATAACAGGTTATAAGTTTTTCTATTGTAAAACATTTTTGGGTGAAAGTTTCAAATAAACTCTATGTCCGCAACATTAAGGAAATCCTCGCTGAGCCCAGGAGGTTTCCGCACACAAGTGTCAGCTCTAGCATCCACCTTTCACCTGCAATAGGGTAGAACAAACCCTGAGTACTCAATTGTACTCCGCAAGACTTACCCGTCAGGAGAAAAGAAAAGACTCAAATGATATGCAAGACTATCTGGCTTGTGGATTTATTGCATCTGCAGGAGCATTACTAAACGTGCGTCCTTATATTCAATTTTATTAGCAGTCATCATTAGTTCATTGACTAACCATTCTATGTAAGCACCTATGCTACTTTCAAGCCGGTGGTAAGCAATCAGAACTATTTTACCATATTTCATATTTCAGTTCTTACTACGGTGCTAGATCATGGACAAGTCATACCGTATTACACGGTGATTCGCGAACTAATGTACCCCAGCTGGGTACTCCGAAACACACGCCCTGCTTGTACCCCAGGCACAAGCAGGACCAACCCATCACTCTCCTATCAAGGGATCTAGGTCCTCGTCCAAACTTGGACTGCTTAGACTTCCACTATCCTCGCCTCCAATTAGTCAGTCTGGAAAGAGCCGAAACCCACGACAAGAGAGCAATGAGCCTTCCCTGCTCAACAACTATGTGCTCAAGATAATAAGTGTGTGATCTGACTAGAATCCAATGCAACAACCGGTCCTTAACCGACACAAATGCAATTCGAGCCTCACTCGAATGCCAAACCAAGTCTAGATCCAAAGTTTTATTCCGCCCGGTCTTCAATTATCATTCATATATATTCCATGTGATAGTAATATAATAACAACAATAATATCTTTCTTATTTCTCGCGAGTGACAATCAATCACTCGACTTCTACCGGAGTCATGTACATAGCAATCTACGTGATCCTGTCATATTAGTAAGACTCATAGGATAAGGATATATATGCAAGTGAGTTTCATTCAACTCTTTAAACTTAATGCACAAGCATAAAATGAAGTGTAGAATAATAGGGGTTATGCATCGGGGCTTGTCTGGGTAAAATATAACCAAGTTAGCTGTTCGTCATGTTGGCATGATTATCACATCACCATCTGCTTCTGCTACTCCAGATGTCTTCGTGATCCATCGTTGTTCCTATTATGATATACGTGGATGCAACACAGAAACGTAAATGATCACGACAATCGCAACTCTAAAATACGATTACGCTGCTAAACTAACGAGCTGGCTCTAGCGACTAACGTACAAGGCTACATATCCATGTTGTCGGACGAGGCATTACTTCCCAATAAGTATTTTAGCTGCAAAATCCCCAGATATATCCTTAATTCATTTTATTGATTTAATATATTTTCAAACCGGGGCTTAATAGGTATTCTAGCAAACTAATTCCTATGGAGCTACAAAAATTACAGTGAGCACCTAATATTGTTAGTAATCTACTGTAAAAATTTCAGGGCCAGTACTACTACCAATTCTTCGCAATAATTCCTACAAGTTCATATTTTACCCATTTTAAGTGCTTCAAATTAATTAGTCTACTCTTGAAAATTCTATGAAACTAAGTGAACAAAATACATTAGTAGATAGGTCATGATTTTAGAAACTCAACAAAATTAGTTTCATAATTTTTAGACATCTATACAAATTTATCTTGAATTTACAATTTCACCTTAGAAACTAAATAAGAAAACCCCTTAAGAAAAAGAAAAGGATGGTAACAGCAATTTGGCCCAACGGCCCATTCGGAGCGAGACGCGCGCAGCAGCTGGCCCAGCAGTGGCCCAAGACCGGGGAGCCCGCGCACGCGCCCGTGTTTTAGCAAATAGCCCCTGGCCTGACCGGATATTATGCGGCGCCACTGCGTACTATTGCACTAGAGAAACTCTATGCAATGGGCACCCCCAACAAACCTATCTTCACATTGAACCGGTCCCTGACACCTCCGCGCACGGCAGTGTGGCTCCAACCGACACCGCCCGTGTGGCAGAACCGCCTAATCTAATGCCTCACATGAGTGCTTGTCTTCCATTAGACACTAAGCACTCAAGGAAGAACACTAAATTACACAGTTCCGTCGGGCACACCCTAGGAGAGAACCCGAAAATTCACATTTCGCCATCAGGATCACAAATGAGAGAATAAAGCTTACATCATTCTTACCCATTTCTTACATC